TTTTTCATAATATGTCTCTTCCAAATTTCGAGCAGAATCAAATAATCCTTCAAAATCATAGTCCAAATTCAAAGGAATGGTTTCGCCATGGCCAATCCATAGTTCAAATATTGGCTGTTTAATACCTTCCTTTACAAATAAAATATCATTGTAATTGAGTCTAGTTGCAGAAATCGGAGAGGCTGCTATGACCTTGGACTCAAATTTGAATAAAGCTTTTAACCCATCCGAATGAGCAAAAATATCCAATGCAATGAAATTTTGATTGGATTTAGTAAATATACATAAAATTTCGTGACAATCAAAGTCGTGAGCTATAAATACTATGCTGTCCTCAAATTTTCCACTTGAGAATTTAGCAAATGCATATTAGATTTAATAATAAGGAATAAAGAAAAAGAACAAAAAGGTTCAATAATCATTAATTACATTTTCGCTACAGGTTCCGTCCAAAGTAATTCCATATAAATATCGTTTTTCATATCGGATTTGAATCTTAAATCATTATACATGTCATCTGAATTAACACCAGTCGCGTATAAAGTTCGATCCACACTTTGAAGAGAAGTTCTTCCTTCGGAACCTTGAAATGAATCATCAAGTCCAATAGAGATTCGTCGCTCTTTATTTTGCAATGAATTATCAGAACGAACGTTTGAACTTCTTCGATTGCTGGTTTTGATGGGAGATGAGCAAATACTTTCCAACATTTTTAAACTATTTTCTTTCTTTATAGCATACCTATATACAGAATGCCTAAGAGTTTTACGACTTAACGTAACTATAATAAGATTGTTTCCTTGATCATCGCGATCATTGACAAAAATCACGACTTCTTCATTATCCGAAAAAGGTCGTGTTATTCCTAATATTTTGACCTTCTCTCCCTCACAAATTATCTTATCCACAATTGAAATAGGTTTGATATTCTCTAAAGGGTCTAATATACTATAAAGAACCGGGAAGGGACCAGCTGTGAAATTAGATATATTTAAGGAATATTCATCCTCCGAATCACGTTGAAGGATAACGCCAATGTTCATCGCCCAAGCACAACGTACGTGAGAGGGGACTCTTATCAAGAAATGTTGACCGTCTAAGAAGTACACTTTGGCGTAATTTTCAAGGAGCACAAAGAGAGCACGCTGTCTTTCCGTTTGCAAGGGTTTTTTATGATAAGTTTCTGAACGTTTTTCAAGATAGTAGGAATGATAACTTTTTGCCACCTTAAACCAAACGAATAAAGCCTGCACAACTGGCTCTTCATACGTGAAGGTTTTATATAAGATATTTCCCCTACTCCAAATGACTGTATTATCGAAAGTACAAAGTTCTTCTTCAAAGTCGTCCAGTCTACTTGTTTCTTGTGAGGTTCTATTGAACCCCTCATAGAGTTTATAATTATTATTTAATTCTCCAGGTTGATAACTTTTATTGTACGAATTATGAGGGAAATCTTCAGGTTGATCTTTAGATTTTTTATAATATCGTTCCCCAAAAGTAATAAAATTTCCTAAAACGCGTACTTCCATCTTTAGAATTTGAGATAATTTTGGATTTCACTGCAACCTTAATTCACTTTTTACGGATGAAGTTAGACCAACAAACGAATCAAACTTTTATAGTCACGTGGAATAACGTGAAATTTGGGCAAATTTAAACCTAGACTCCGGGTTTAGGTTATTATCCTAAATAAATTTTTTTAAGTACTTTTCACGTGATACGTACAGTTGCACCCGGGGGTACATTTTAAGAATGCCTTGAAAATTTTATTAAAAAAACGTTATTTAAGCTAGTCCCAAATTAATTTCATTCGCTAAAGCAAAAAAAAAAAACCAACATTGACTTAGGAACAACTTTAATAAAGCTTGCTTTGCTTGTTGACTTTTTTTTTATTATACTATTAACGAATTAAAAAAAAAATATATTATAATTTTAAATCAAAATACATATTCGAAATGAAACCTCTTTTTTTTCAATCTGTACTGTTTTATTGAGAGCTAGAAAGAATATCAGAATCACCAGGATCGGTGATACTTAAAACACCAACACGGAAGTATTTACCACAGGCTGTTCCGAGATCAATGTTATCTAATTTAAAGCATTAAAAATTAATAATTAAAAAAAAAATTAAATCATTATTAAATAGTAATTGACGGAGAGTATGCTTACTGCCAGTATAATGATGTACAGTAGTTTTTGAAAGCATAGCATAATATTCCAATTCATTTTTCCTCAATTGTGGACAATTTCCAGAGATAATAACAAGTTTGGCTAATATAAAAAAAGAAAGTGTTAATTTCAAAGGGACTATCTTTGCCAGCCGATTTCAAAAAAAAAAAGTGTGCCGACTCCTGACCCTTATTATATTCGTTTATAACTTAAAAATTAATATTAAATACCAACCTTTGCCTTGACGAAGAGTTTTAAGAGTGGATTTGTATCCTAAAACATACTTGCCACTCTTCATTACTAGTGCCAGACGTGAATTGATTGATTCGGTGGCTTTTTTAGATTTCTTTATGGCCATTCTTGCTAATTCCTGTCTGATTTTACAAAGATTAATAATATGTATCCGTTAAATTCCATCAATCAATTTATCATGAAATAAATTTTATATAACTAATAATTGTTATAAATTGTAATTACCTGTCAACGGTGAGGTCAAATACTGAAAAAAAAAAAAAAAAAAATTTATTTTAAATATCCAGATCGATCATTTATATCACGTGATCTCTTGTAGGTGCATGAATCAAAAGTTTTTCCGAAAGATTTGAAGGATTATATATAACTCACTCTCACTTTAACACCTTTATCTAATGGATGACAAAGATAACCCCGATCCTAGCTTCGACATTAGCAAAGTCTCACAAGAACTTGCGAACCATTTAAATGCCTATGAACACAGCGCAGAAGTCATGAATGATATCCGTAATACTATTGAGACAACAACAGTCCAAATGGAAGATACCAAAAGATCTTTGGAACAGGTAAATTATCTTGTTTTATCATTAATTTTTATTTAATAACCAAACTCAAAGAATGTAGTAGGTTCGTTCTGACGCCGATACGCGTTCTGAAGTTGCCTCGAAAGAACTTTACGAGGCTGCCCATCACTTGGACGCATTATATGATAAGATCGATGCATTGGAAGTAAGAATTAAATTATAAATCATTTATATATTTGATTCAGTCTTTTTTTTTTAAAGAGTATAGTAATCTTCCTTGAGTAGCGGTTCGTAAATATAGTCAAAGGAAGCGTAAACGAAGTAGCGGATCGTGTTGAGGAAGCAGAAAGTTTTCTTACAAGTCCGATTAATCGAGTTTTAGATACAATAAGACTGGTAAAATGATTTCCAAATAAAATGTGAAAATTGTGAATTATGTCAATTAAAAAAAAAATTAAATGCCAATAAATTATTACTTTATTACAGAATACGGCCAAATCAGTTGGCCCCGATGATTTAAGTCTTCCACCAATGAAACCTTTAAATATTTATTGTACCTCTGATTATTTTCCGTCATCATCCAATGAATGATATAATTTATTAATTTATTCCGTTATTATTTCACCGTTTAAATTAAAACATTCATATATTTCACTAGGACATTTTATCCATTGATTGAACTTTTGTTCTCGAAGTATCCTTTTAGCAGTTTGATAATCTTTACTTGCTAATTTATACATCCTATAAGTCTTATCATTTGGTGGACTTATAAATTTTCTATTTATAATAGAATATTTATTTGTTAACGTTAATTGAGAATTTTAAGTAATATACGCGAATTTTTACCTTAAATTAAATGGTACCAAATTCCTAGGAATTTGTCTTAATAATGAATTTAAACTTTGAAATAAACATAATTTCGCAACCGAACATCTACATTGACTTTAGAGATTTGTAAAAATTTGGCTAATAAAAAAATTATTATATTTGATTCATTGAGGGGAAATGTTTAATTACCGAGTTTTATGTGAGTATTCTCCTGTTTTTTTTGATTTAATAGCACCTTGTTTTCTCCCAGAAACAAGGATTTCTGGAGATCTCGCTCCTTTATACCATACTAAGGCTTTAGAAACAAAAAGGTATAATAAAATAATTTAATTACGATAAATTCGAAAAAGGATGATAAGTATTTTATGTACCTGTACTTGATGAGACCAAGTTCTCATTGGGAAAGCGTGACGATAAACAAAATTTCGATCTTTCAAATGGTTCGCTTGACTTTGAAATTATTGGTTTATGTAAAGAGTATTCATGTGGAAGATCTTTAGAGAATCAGGTGGTTGATACATGAAAATCTAACTTCATACAACCATACTTATTTTATATTTCATACCATTCAACCCTTCGATCCGTTCACACAAAGCACGAGACAAGGATTCTTGTGAGAACATATCACCCACAACGATAGAAGATAAATATATTGGGGAGATAAGTTCAGATAATAGAGCAGATTGTAAACCAACGACATTCCATTGTGCTATTTTGTCACTATAAATTAAAATCATAGAAAGTAAATCATCTTGATACGAACATGAGAGATGTAAATAAATTTCATGATTTTAAACCTGCATGACATCGATAAAGTTGGTTCTGAATCAACCCTTCCTAAAATCACGAAAATATCTAAAACATCAATTGTGAATTTATTAACAATTCACTTATAAAATGAGTAACAAACCCGGCTTTGTTCTTAAAACTCCTAAAGAGTCGTAATCAATCCTTCCCTTTCTAAACCCTTCCCTTCCTTTCGCTACATAAACTTTGTCATGAGTATTCAAATTCTTGTTAATTTCACGATCATAATTTTGGGGGATTGGTTGCGATAAATGATTATATGAATTCATATAAAGTTCAGCATCTTCTAATGATTGATTTGAAGCCAAACTTGTTGTTGACGCATCACCACCTATACAAGTAAATTATATTAGACACAATTATGCAACCATCATAGACATAATAAAGTTAAAAAATACTTACAAGGTGCCTGACTGATATACATATGAAAACTCAATTTATCATCCTTTAGTAAAAATGGTTTGTTTCCAATTCGATCTTGGTTTTCCGTTTCATTATTAAAATGT